GGATGCAGCGTCTCCCAGTGCGCGTCGTCGAACCACGCCGCCTTCATGGAAGGGTCCAGGAAGGTGGCGATCCACAACTCGTTGCTTGACATCAGTTCATACTTCTTCAAGAGACCCAGCGCCGCCTCAATCATCGGCTTCAGCGTAGCCGATGGCCCCTTGGCAAGGCGCGACTCCATAGCGTCGATCAGGCCGTTGTAGTACGGCAGGACCATCGCCACTGTAGGGTACTGTCAGAATCTTAGCTTGGCTAAGGAGCCATAGCTAGTGAGAAGTTCGAGTGAGTTTGAGTTAGGAGAGTCGAGAAAGTTGAAAAGAGAAGAGGAGGGGTTTCACTATAGAGCGAGCAGTACATATAGGCAAGATGAAAGGTGCACCACCAAAACATAACATTATATAACTACACTAGTCTACACTACAGGCAATTACAAAACAATATATAGATTTATATATTATTCTGACAGGTACGCCGCTCCCTCCGCGGCCTTGGAGACTTTGGCGAATGGGCTGAGGAAGGTCTTGACAGAATGCAGAGTCTCCCAGTCTGCGTCCGTTAGGCGCAAGGTGTCCATCTTCGCCTTGTCAGCCTTCAACACGCCCTGTCGGGTAGAACGTATGGGTGGGCGGGTGTTAGGGTGGAAAGTGGGGTGGTTGAGGTTGTTGGAGGTCCGATAAGTTTAGTCAAGCATGGCCAACAGTGGTGCAAGTCCCAGAAGAAAACACCTCGACTGACATACCAACACATAAAACCGCATACACAACACCTGGCACACACACACATCTGTGTCTGGGCAAAGAAGACAGAGATGGGTTCCTGCAGAACCCCAGCTCGCTCGACCATGTCGTGGGTCGACCCCCAGCGTGTGGGACTGTCCTGCACCAGCTTCAATGCCGGCTTCGGTCTGGCGGGGTTGCCCTGCGCGTTCAGGGTCTGCTGAAGGCCCAAGAACTTCCCTGAGCGCTGCGGCGTGAAGCCTATCCACGACGCCATCTCTCTCAGAATCTTCAACAACTTGCGGATGGTGGTCACAGCGAGTGTTGCCTTCACTGCAAGGTTGATCACGTGTGCCAGGCATCTGCGCACATCACAAAACATTAATGGCGGAGAGAAAGGGAAGTGTGAGTGCACATTGGCATAGATCCGCGAAAGAATACCACTCTCAAGCCGCATAGGCCCACCCGCCTGTACTACAACCTCAACATGTTCACATCACAGGAACGACGCACCCAGACTCCCTCATCGCACATCCCACGCACACTCCCTTTCGTACCGGAAGTGCATGCGCAAGTTGAAGAAGCACTGGCCACCACCCTCCTCCGACATCCACCTGAAAGCGGCAGTGTTGCTGGAGGCGTTGTCTGAGGTGAACCCAAGACAACGCGTCTCCAACCCCCACTGCACCACAGTCTCATCAACCACCCTCGCCATCTGCTTGCCCGTGTGACGCCCGTGAATCTCGCGGAATTCAAACACCATTGTGCGCAGCTGGTAATTCTCGTCGATCCAGTGACCCGTTACCACTAGCCACGCCCTGTTGTTGGGCAACGTCCACATGTCGATGGTGAACGACACCCTGCACCCCAGATCCCCCTCCTTCGCCAGCATCTCCGCAATGGCTGACTGAAGAGCGGCAGCCGCATAGACCACTGTATCGCGGGAAACTGTCCAGCGCGAGGGGATGAAGTTCTTCTGCGCGCAGTTGCGGTTTAGCAGGATGAGTAGCTCATGAAACTGGAGAGGAGTAGAGACAAGGGGGGAGAGGGGAGTAAACGTCAGGGGGATGGGATGAAAATAATATAGCACTGCACTGGGCCACACGCAAACATTCAAAACACAAAGGGACAGACCCGTCCACTAACCACATAATTGCCCAATCATGCATGGGATGGGATGGGGCACTTACAGCCTCGGCCTCGACGATGCGGAAGGGGAGGTCGCAGGTGACCACCAGCTTCGTGATCGCCTGCCGTAGCTGCACCGAGGTCAGTTTGGTTGTCATCCACCGCTCCATCCCGCCTGACCCATGACCTCCACCAGTCGCCATCCCTTTCCCCTTGGCGAGCTGCGGCCAAGTCTTGGCATGTGGCCACTAATAGACGTAGCCATCCGGCACTCCCTTGTAGCCCCCACGTGGAAACGTCTCCCCTGGCAAGTGAACGGACGGGGTGTGGTAACGGTGATGCCACACATGCATGTGCGCAGTGTGGAAGCTCGCAAAGTGCCGCTCGTCGGGGGTTGTTGTGGATTGCTTCCACGAAATCATGTCTGTGCAAATCTTGCACTGACGCTTATCGTCTGCCCCTAACGGTCCGAACATCATTACTTGCCACCCCGGCTTCCTATTACCCTTGCCAGTCCCCTTACTACTCTCGGACTCTCCGTCCTCGTCTAGGAACTCGGGAGCGATCACACCCTCGCCCAAGGGCTCCCCAGTGAACGTGCATGGATACGCCCGCTCCCTCAACTTGTTGGCCTTCTTCCTCTGCCTCGGCTCCCTAATGGTCACGGCCTTTCTCCCCCCCACCTTAACCCCCACGCTCCCTCCCCCTTCACGCACATGCTGTGATCCCGCCTCTGTCACCGCCCTTCCACCACCCTCTCCCACCTCCTCCTCCCGCCCCTCTGGCTCCAACCCATCCATCTCGTGGTCTTCATCATCATCATCTCCCCCCTCCCCATCGCCATGCGTCTCTGGGTCCCACGCCGCCTCGCTGTCATCCCCGCTCCCCTCAGTGTCCTCCTCCTTCTCGCCCTCACCATCCTCCTCCTCATCCTCCTCCTCGCTGCCGCTCTCCGGCTGCGTCGGCGTCTGCCCCGAAGGAGGGGGTCGAGGGCCGTCGTAACGGAAAGAGCGACGAGAGGTCGGCGCCGGTACGGTAAGCAACCCCCCAACGAAGATCGTGCCGGCTCCTCCGGGTCCATCCCCTACTCGCCCCTGCATAGGTCGTGGTGGAGATCCCGGTGCGCTGCCCTGAGCCCTGCCTGCACCTCGGCCTATGGATCCACCAGCCTTGGAAGCCATAACTCCGCCCTCGACCCTAAACCCTAAAACACCCTTCCTGCAACGGTAGCGTTGGATGGTGCCGCACGTTCCTAATGCCCGATCCGAATCCTACGGCGTAGGATACGCCCTACTTGAGCCCTTTGCGGAGATGCTCGCTGAACCTTAATAGTAACCCTAAACTCCCTACACTACGTTAAACCCTATGCATAGATCTATCTATCTAATGTTCGTTTACACTGCAAGTATCAGCGTGCACTTGCTTGCACCTAGAACAAGGAGGCTAGGGCGGCTGTGTGAGGGAGCGCTAAGGCGAAAACGACTTCTGAGTTTGAGCTCACGAAATGAGCTCAAACACAAATTGGCCGCGACCTAAATCTGGTCGCGGCCAATTTTGACGCGAACATTTTTGGTGTTCGCGTGGCCCCCAAGTCGAACACGAACATGTTCGTGTTCGGCTTGGAGAGCCAAAATTCGGAGGCGAACGTCGAACATGTTCGGCCGAACACCGAACATGTTCGGCCCGAACAATTTAGGCAAAAAAAAAATGCATGTTCGGTTCGCCTCGAACATGTTCGAGGCGAACCGAACATGCGTTCGGGATTTTGCTCATCCCTAGCTCCATCTTTGATGCCTGATTTTACAAGTAAAATCAGGGTTCGGCAATGTGGAGTGTTTTGCTTCAAAGTAGATCCAATGATAGATCGCAATTCACTCAAGAGGAAGACACTGCCGGGGCGTTCGCTGCTTATCTGTCCACAAAGTTCCTTCCGAGCGGGTCTTAGTTTTAAACCCACCAGGACGCGCGAGCTGGCGGAAGCTGTCTGCGCGGGGCAAAAAAACTATTCCCCATCGCGACCGACTGGCATGCCGTTCAGGAGCCTCAACCCTAAGGGCGTGTGTTTTTTGGATTTAATTGCGCAGTTCATGTTTTCTAGTCGATTTTTTACGTTTGGAACCTAGGTCGACCTGTACTCGAGTATCTCAACTTTTGGGTCCCGAGTCGTGATTTTTCTCTCCCAAAAATCACATGGCACATCAAAGTTCGACTTCAGAAGTTGGACTTTATACAGTAAAATCCGAGTCGCGCCCCAATTTCGTAGGTTACCTGATTTGAAGACGTAGCTCGTGAACGAATCTGGATTCAGTAACGAGGTAGCGTGTCTTTCGTTACCATCGCAAAAGTCGCAGATTCACTGCGCATGAGAAGAACACACGTTTGGCTAAACGGGCACGTGAAAATTCGACCCCAGTTCATTGTCCCTCTGTTTCATCAATCTTTGAACCTGGACACACGAATATCGCAAACAGCAATAAACGAAGTTCACGAAGCAGGTTACCATTAAAGGGTCGACCTCTTTCTTGAACCCTTACACCAAAAGACACGCGCCCTAACATTTTAGGGTTGATGCCTCCCGAACCGCATGCCTTCCGAGCGTGTCTTAGTTATTTTCTTGCCCGCGGGCAGCTCGATTCCGCGAGCACGCGCAAGCAATCCCGCAATCGCCCGTGCTTTACTGTTTGGGCGCGTGCGTATGAACCTTTGAGAAATTCGAATGCATAAGCAAGGTTGTCAAAAATTTGGACCCGTTACAGGTTCTCTTTTCTAGGCTACAAGTTCTCATTTAAAAATAACAAACTGGCAATGAAAAGAACGAGTGCACATATTGACGAAAAAAAAAACCTCCGAATCTCATGCACAAGATGTATTTTGCCATGCCCATATACCGTAACACTAACCTGTTTCATTTCTCGCTGTTTCACAACGACCGCTACGGGGTGACACTTGTATCCAGAGAGGGATGGCGTGCGGGGAGGCTTGGTGGTCAGTGGATTGGTGATGCATGTGCAGGCAGGTGGTGGCCTCAGATTCGTCGCGGTTGGTGCAGTCCCATCTCCGCTACCACTGCATGCAGCAGTGAGGGTTTGGTGGTTGGCGGGTTGGTGGTGCAGGTGCAGGCCGGCAGGTGGTGTGGCATGGCATGGGATGGCGTCAGATCAGATTCGCTGCGCAGGGTGCAGCCCCATCTCCGCCCCCACTGCATGCAGCAGTGAGCGCAGCGCCCCTGCCAGCTCCGGGTCCCTGCTGGGTGGGGGGAGGGCAGCGCAGGGCACATGTGATGATGGATTGAAGGGGAGGTGATGGGATGAAAGGGAGGTGGTGGGATGAAGACGGGGTGATGGGTTGAAGGGGAGGTGCTGCAGGGCACAGGTGGTGCAGGGAGCATGTGCTGGTATTGGTTCAGTCATCAGAGGGAGATGATCAAACTGGAATGGAATAAGTCTGGCAGGTAGAGGGTACTCCGTGGCAAGACTGCACAGGGGTGGGATGAAAACAGAGAAGCACAACGTTCGAATTTGCACACCCACAAGCTCCACCAATGGCATGCTGCCACGTGGCCATGCAGCAAGCATCACCTGGCAAGAATGAGGTCGCATGCGAAGGGGTAGATGGCGAACAGGTGGGCCTTGCGCCATCCCATGCTCCCGCCTTGCCCGTCCGGCAGCACCCGCCACTCACACTCACCCTCACTCCCCCTCCCACCATCCGCTCCCTTACTGCACTCCTCCCCACCCTCTTCCCCGCCCACCCTGCCAGCAGCACTAGCTGCTGCATTGATGCTGCTGTCAGAAAGAAAGGGCAGATCTGCATCAGCGGGGGCCGATGCAGGAGTGGAAGAGGTAGGGGTGGAGGCGGGCTTGCTGCGTGGTGCAGTGTGGGCAGCAATGCTGTGAGCGAGGGAGGGCACTGGTGCTGCTGGGAGGGAGAGTGCAGTGAAGCCGTGAGCAGGAGGAGGGGTGCAGCGGAGCATGGCGGGGAGGAGGTACGAGAGGGGCGCGGCGACAGCGGGGTGTAGCGAGATGGCTGTGAGACCTGCCAGGATGACCCTCACCTCCCTCCTGCGCGCTGCTGCCATGCTGCCCGCCCCTGTGATGAGAGGGCAAAGGGGAGGACAGGAGCAGGGTCAGGTGGAGGGGACAGACAGGGGGAGAGGACCGGTGGATTGGACTGACGGAGGGATCAGGTGGATTTCACGGGGGGGGGGGGGAGAGGGGACAGGAGGAGGGGGCAGTTGGAAGAGACAAGCAGAAAAAAAAACTCCAGGCAGTCCTCTGCACTCACCGCGCACCAGGCAGTCCTCTGCACTCACCGCGCACCAGGCAGTCCTCTGCACTCACCGCGCACCAGGCAGTCCTCTGCACTCACCGCGCACCAGGCAGTCCTCGGTGAAGCGCTGCAGGCGGCGGCGGGCAAAGGCGAGGAGGCGGGGCATGGCGATGCACGCCACCTGCACCGCGGAGCTGCTCACTGGGTCGTTGGGTCTGGGCTGCCTGCACGGTGGCAGGCACGAGAGGACGTGAGAGGGCGCAAACGAATGTGAGTGGGCGTGAGGGAGGGTGAGAGGAGCTGCCGCCTGGATCGCTAGCCCTGGGCTGCCTGCATGGTGGTGGGGCACAACCGATTGTCCAATCCAAGCAACAAGCAATATTTTCATTTATAATCTGCTGGTCAGGTCGCTGAGGCCGGGCTGCTTGACGGGTGGTGGACGTGAGAGGGCATGAAAAAGTGAGTGGCTGTGGCAGCACAATTTGCTACTTGTGCACTGCACTCTAAGCCCTTGCTAGTGCAGCACAAAACTACTTGTCCCCCTCCTTGCTGCCCATACTGCTACTGCTGCTGCTGATGATGCCGCTATCATGGCTAAACACGGAAGAATGTGCCCCGCAGTTGCAGGAATGGCAATTTATTCACGCTGCTGGTGCGATCAGCTCACCCTGCAAGAGCGGAGGGTAAGCCACTCACCCGCAGATCTGGGGCAGCAGGTGGATGGCAGTGAAGCACACAGGGTGCAACGTCTCCCTCCACATGCCGCAGCCCCCCTCACCACTGCCACCACCACTGCCGCCATTGTCACCCACGCTGCCGCTGCCTACCCCAACCAGCGAATGATCCACTATGCCCCCATCGCTGCCTCTGCTTCCACTCCCCACAGCAACAGCACTGCTGCTTCTCGTCCTGCTCACCACCACATGCCCACCACTGCCACTGCCACCGTTGCCACTCAAGCCGTCGCTTCCCCCTCTTCCCACACTGCCTGTCGCCTTCACCTGCCCCCCTGCCCCTGCCCCACCAGCAGCACCCCACCCCAGCCAGCTACCCACGCGCGCAAGCCCACTCAGAGGCGCAGCTGCCTTCCCCTCGCCCTTAGGCCCCTGCCCTCCTGAACCAGCACCTGAGCCTGACCATGAACCTGAGCCTGGGGCTGCAGCAGAGGCAGAGGCGGAGGCAGGGGTTGGGCCGGAGGCAGTGCGGAGAGGCGAGACAGAGACTGCAGGGGTGGAGAAGGAGCGGGAGCGGTCTGGTGCGGCACGGTGGGATGCAGTGCTGGTGGCAGGGGAGAGGATTCTTGTACTGCTACCAGTTGCTGCCAGACTGCCGTTGCTTGCTGGTGCAGCCGCGGCTGCTTTGCTGGGCGCTTTTCCTGATGAGAGAGGGGAACGAGAGGGAGAGGGGGTGACAAACTGATTGAATGGACACATGTAAAAGAGGGGAGTGGAATAGAGGAGTTAGCACCAACAGAGGTGACAGTGAAGCATCACAGATTGGAACGAGAGAGGTCGTGCAAGCCGCCAAACGCACCTTGCTCGGAGCCACTGTGCCCTGAGCTCCCACGGCCACGGCCACCCCCTGTGAGCTGCACCTCCCCCACGGCCCTCTCTGCCAGGTCCAGCAGCAGCCCCACCAGGCGCTGCTTCACCTGGTGTGGAGCGGAGGGGGCATGAGGGGGAGCGATGCACACGAAACTGTCACTGTGCTGGGTGCGGGCGGAATGAATGGTGGAGTCAACGTTCGAGGGGCATTGATGAGTGGCTGTCAGTCACCGCACGCACCGCTTCCCGGAAGATCCCTACCTCATCCGGGAAGGGCAGCGGGGCGGCTATAGCAGCAAAGGCGGGTGCACGTACACGTGAGTAGTGCAAACCGTGTGAGTCTGTGTGGGCCATATTCCTGTCCCGGCCCCCGCTCACCTCCAGTGGCGCGTCTTGGCAGTATCTGAGCACTTTCTCTCCCAGCAACCGCACCATCCGCTCCTGTAGCACCTCGTCCTCATGCACCTGAGCCGGCGGCAGATTTTGGACGGACCCAGACTGCCACTCCCCCGTGCCCATGCCCCTGACGACCCCCTCCCCTGCGCACATGCCGCGCACCACGCCCTCGTACAGCGCCACCAGCTCCTTCCAGAACCGCTGCCGCACTGCCGCCTCCCACGTGGCCGTGGCGCCCGACAGTGCCACGCTCTGCTGGTGCTGCTGCTGCTGCTGCTGCTGCTGCCCCTCCTGCTGGTGTGTGCACTGACCTTGTGTCTCTTCCACCGCTGCATCACTATCGCTCCTCGAACCTGCCTCCGCCTCCCCATGCGGCCCTGCCTCGGCCGTTCCATGCTGCTCCCTGCCCTCCTTCCCCTTCTCCCCGCCCCCCCTGCTCTCTGCTGCCGCCGTTCCAGCGATGGGGGCAGATGGGGCTTGTTGGGATCCAGCAGGCGAGGCGGATAGGGCGGATGGGGCGGAGGGGGCGGGGGAAGAGGGGAGGGGGAGGAGGTGCGGGGGGCAGTCGAGCAGCAGCGCGTGGTCGAGGACGTCGGCGAACTGCAGCACGGACGTGCGCCACAGCGGCGAGTTGGGCTGCTCCTGCCGCACCGCCAGGCACCTGTGAAAGGGGGGGGAGGGGGAGGGCGGGGGGGGTTTTGAGGGGTGACGGGTGAGGGATGAACAATGGAGGTTGGTCAAAGGAGGAGGAGGGTGGGGAGGGGGAGGGAAGGGGAGGGGGACAAGTGAAGGAAGATGGGGCGACGAGGTGGAGCATGCCGGCGAAATGCAGCACGGAGGTGAGTTGGGTGTCCCTCGTGTGCAGAAGCAGCACGGACGTGCGCCACAGGGGCGAGTTTGGCTGCTCCTGCCGCACCGCTAGGCACCTGGACGGGGGAAGTTTGAGGGGTGAGGGGTGAACGAGCTAGGCGCGAGGTGGGGTTGAACGGTGAGGGATGAACGAATGGGGGGTGATCGAAGGGGGAGGTGGGCCAGGAGGGGGGAGAGGGACGGGGAGGGGGAGGGAGAGGGGGAAGTGGGGAGGGGGGAAAACGAAGGGAGACGGGCCGGCGTGGTCGCGATGTCGTTCTCGCCTTAACCTTACGGCACGGGGAACCTCATCTCTCCCTCTCGCCTCTCCCGCCTCTCCCGCCGCCCGTCCCAACCGATGGCGCTCTCGCCTTCACCCCACGGCAGGAAGAACCTTCTTTCCTCCTCTCATCTCTCACCTCCCGCCTCTCGCCTCTCCCGCCCGACCGCCGGCCCGAACCATCCCACTTTTTT